TATGGCCTGAATCATATGTTCTACTTGCTTCTGCTAATGGTTTCACTCGCGTTCTCGGGGTAAAAATTGGTCTATGCGTTATTTCATACTTTAATCTATCTCGCTACCAAATTTTATGCAGATTCGTTCAGTTGTTTTTGCGTGAGCAAGTAATAAAAATACAAACTTTTGGATTACTAAAATTAGTACCTTAATAACGGAGGAAACTTAAGACGCCTAGCTTTTTGGGGAGGAAGACTAGAGAGTTTGGGATTCATACTTCATGAAAACCACCCCGTTGGCCAACCTCAGCACCTGTAAGATTAGTACTCATGGAGGAGTTTTGCCAGTGACTTCGATTGGTGTGCAGTTACAGAATCAATCATTTCATTTAAGTATCAACCAACAGCCCAAAAGTCCTTTGTTGGGTCCAGCAATGTTCTAAGTTCTGTCACCGTCAGATTATGGCAAATATAATTCATTTCTCCCTTTCAATCGGGATTTCGCCCTGGTCACAGCACGGTCACAGCTTTACTCAAAGTGACCGATGACATTCGCTGGGCTATGGACAACCAATCTCTCACTGTTCTTGTGTTGTTGGACTTCAGTTCTGCCTTTAACTCCGTGGACTTTGACATCCTGCTAGGGGTCCTGAAGGCCAACAATTTCTCTTCTTCCTCTCTGGCCTGGTTTGAGTCTTATCTTCGGGGTCGCCGTCAGAGGGTCCGCCTTGAAGAAACTTTTTCTGATTGGTGTGACCTTGCTGCTGGGGTACCCCAGGGTGGCGTCCTTTCTCCTGTTCTTTTCTCCATCTTTATTAATACCGTTGCCAAGGTCATTTCATCCAATTTCCATTTATATGCGGACGATTTGCAGCTATATCGCCACTTTGGCTTGTCCGAGGCCCATTCTGCTATCGATGCCATGAATCGTGACTTGGATGGCGTTGCCGAGTGGGCTAGGTCTTTTGGCCTGCAAATCAACCCTCTCAAGTCTCAGGCCATGATCATCGGTAGCAGATATTATCGAAACGCTCTCGACGTGTCTGGCCTTGGTCCGTTACGTTTGAATGGCACACACATTCCATTCACTGATACTGCAAAAAACTTGGGGGTGCATATCGACTCGAACCTGTCGTGGGCCTTTCAGGTGAACGAGGTTAGTCGGAAAGTTCATTTCTCCATCCACTCGCTGAGGCGCCTCCAGACCCTGCTTCCGATGACGACTAAGATTCACCTCGTCCAGGCGCTGATCTTGCCTCTCATTGACTATGCAGATGCTTGCTATTTGGATGCCACAGAGGAGCTATTAAATAAACTTGAGCGTTTACAAAATGTATGTATCCGTTTCGTCTTTGGTCTTAGGAAGTTCGATCATATCTCTGAATTTCGTAACAGGCTCAAGTGGCTCCCAATCCGTCTTCGCAGGAACACTCGCATATTATGTCTCCTCTATAACATCCTGTTCAACCCAGCCTATCCTACTTATCTCCGAGACCGTTTCTCCTTGGTGCGTCCTCCTGAAGTCCTTACTCGTTCTCATCTTAAATCCTATCTTAAAATTGTGCCCCATAATACCAACTTCTACTCCTACTCCTTCTCCGTTCATGCAGTGAGACTATGGAACTCACTCCCGCCGAACATTCGGGATGCCAAGTCAATCTCTATCTTTAAGAGACAAGTGAGAGAACATTATCTTTCCTCCTGAAATATAGATCTTTTTGTTTATATTTGTTTATATATATATATATGTAGGTATATTTATATAAGTAATAGCATTGTATTAGTTTGTTTTGTTGTTTATTATTGTTATTTCTATCGGTTTTTTCGTTATTATTATTATTTTTTTTTTTTATTGTTTGTGTAACACACTATGTGTCTCAGTGTTATTATATCTTTTCCTGCCACAGGCCCACAGGAAGAGATTCCAGTTGGAATATGTGGGGCCTATGTACTCTGTTTTTATATATGTGTTGTCCTCTGTGTTGAATGTGTGTACATAAATAAATAAATAAATAAATAAATAAATAAATAAATCTTATCTAGTCACATAACACACACACATGAGCCATACGCTCACTTAGGAAGCCGTTAGAAATAGCAATTGAACATTTTCCAAAAAAAATCCTATTCGGGCATAAAACCCAAACAGCTCACTCGGCAGTCACTAACTATCAACAATTGTTTGATAAACTACGTTTAAAACTACCGACTTCAACCCCCTCTTTTTAGAGATCGGTTCAATGATATACTAAAACCTTTTTCTGAGTGTAAAAAACACTTTTCTGGAAACCACATCAAAATCGGTTCAGCCTATCGCGAGGTTATCGCGCACAAACACCATACATACATACAGGTCAAAATGAGAACCTACTTCTTTTTTTGAAGTCGGTTTAAAATAATTTCCGAAAGCTATAACTTAGCCTCCTTATGCTACCACCTTTTATGGTAATCTCTCATAAGGCTTATTATACCAGTTATACCAAGCTTTGCATAACTTCTAGTAATCTATTGCAAATAATCGCTTTGGGACTAGATCCGACAGACAGACATAAATTACGACTACAGATTTAGATATTTATTTGCATGTGAATGAGTTGAAATTGTTGACTATCTCGTTGGGTTGTTTGAGTGAGCGCAAGTGTGACTGTCGACTAAGCGGTTTCGGGTTCTATTCTCGGATTGGATAACGTGTTTTAGGATTTTGCGAAAAAATCATAGTAGTAGAAACTAAGTCTGGATTTGTACCTATGTATAGCTATAATTCCAGACTAATTCAAATGTAGACAGACTCTTACCCTGTTACATGAAACTCGTAAAATAACTGGGCACAAGTAAGAGTTATGTTGCACGGAGCTTCCAATAGTGCCATATCTTGACCCACTTTTAAAAAATCCAATTACAAAAACAACATCAACACGCGTTTTATCCCTGAAGGGGTAGGCAGAGGTGCACATTATACCACTGTACAATGTAACACCCGCTTTTCACTATTTATGTTATGTGTCAAACGTAATAGGGGGTTAGCCTATTGCCATATACTGGGCACAATTCTAAACTCCTTGCTACTACTGAGAATTTTTAGAAAACCGAGCTTAAATTGTCCCGACCTGGGAATCGGACCAGAAACTCTTTGCGTGGCAGTCGCACTTGCGACCACTTGGTCATCGAGGCAGTCTCCATCATCCAATTACAACATCAGCTCAAAATATTCCCAATCCACAAATACATGACAAATCGAGTGTACCCTCATAAACAAACAAACAGACAGATACAGTGAAAGTGTTAGCTATTGTGTACACAGGCCTGTGACCATACATTGACCATTCAAACACCATTACCATGTTAATATGACGGCTCAAACAATGGACGTACCTCGAGCGAGATGTAAAGATTTTTATCCTGGTTGGAATACATTCGTTTGGTATTTGGTGTGAAGATAATGGCGTGTGTGTGGATTAGAAACTTGTGGAGTATAGTTCGTTATTCATTATAGTTATAGGTTTTTAGAATCCCTAATCCCAAAAGGATTGTCGCGGAGAACCTAACGGGTAACCGGGGCTCCGGCTCGACGTGCAGGAGAAGGAACGGGGTGGTTTTTATTCAGTAAGAGTCTGACACTCCCTCCCGCCTCACCCAGGCGGGAGCAGGCATTCGATGATTTCCACTCCTAAAAAATAAAAACCCAAAAGGATTACACGTGTAACGCCTCTGGTGTTCCAGGTGTCCATGGGCGACACCGATTGCTTACCATCAGATGATCCGCATGCTCGTTTACCGGTTCAAGCCATAAAAAAAACTTTTGTTATTTTTCTTTTAAAGTCAAAGTCAAAGCATTTATTTCAATTAACTCGTCGAGTACCGTCATTATGGACACAATTATAAAACAATAGGTTGCGGTCACCGGTGACCGCTTGGTGTTTGACAGTTTAAACCATAATTTGGTACTTTTGAACCGTCAACAAATACAAAATAAATAATAGTCTGTCAGTCAGTCCGTCAGTGAAGCTAGGTGAAGTTACGATGACATGTTATTTGATGTTATACTTACTTGAGTAAACGTTTGACACCTCTGCCCTTCTAAGAATATTAGATCGTACTTATGACTTGGCTGCGTTCGTCACTGCTAACTGCACCGTTATTCTGCGTACACGCAACGAAATGCATATCAACACCTTCCTACCTTTTATTGTTTAGCACTTTCTCGTGGTTACTTGCCTCATTGTTACATATCTCGCCTGTATGTCGGTAACAGGTACCTACGCTTCTGATATTATTAGGTATTAGCTACTTCCGCGTGGTTTAACCTGCTCTGCTCGGCGCCTATTGATCATAGCGTGATATTTTATAGTATATAGCCTTCCTCGATAAATGGACTATCCGACACATGAAGAATTTTTCAAATCAGACCAGTAGTTCTTGAGATTAGCGCGTTGAAACAAACAAATTCTTCAGCTTTATATACCTAACTAATAGTATAAAATGAGAATATGAGGTATCTGTTATATATAGCCGAAATCATAAGGAATTAATACAACATAACATAACATCGCGCCTTTTATCTCAGAGGTGCACATTATACCAGTGTAAAATGTAACATCCACGTTTCACTATCCATGTTATGAGTCCCATGTAATAGGGGATGAGCCTATTGCCATATACCGCCGGGCACAGTTCCAGACTCCGTGCTACTATTGAGATTTTTTTAAAAACCCTGTAATACTTTGCCCGACTCGGGAACTGAACCCGAGACCCCTTGCCCGGCAGTCGCACTTGCGACCACTCGGCCAACGAGGCAGTCATAAAGAATTGTGCTATTAAAATGCCAGCATAACTTTTCTAATTCTACTAATATTTAATAGTGTTTGAAAAACATTCATGAAGATTTACAACTTAAAAAAATTGAGGAAAGCTATATAATCGACCCATTTATAAATGCAATTATCAGAAAATTAATAATGCTAGTCTTTTCCATTTAATTTTTCTATGCATAAAGAGTTAGTCTAATACTACATTTTTTGCGGGTAGACACAGTAGTGAATACACATACTTTTTTTTGGACCCTTAGTTTAATTAATTTAAATTATAATAGTGGTGATTATTTATGTCATAATATAGTAGATGTGTTCTAGACCCCCCCTTTGCTAGTCAATTATTGTTATCAAGTGCCTACAACTAAGTTACACCAATACCGAACCCATCAGGGAGCCATGGAAACCAAACTTGCTGCTAGTCTTGACAATATGAAGGCCCTTCTCCTCTCAAGGATGACTGCTCACGAGGAGAAGCTGGAGAAGGTCACAGCAGCAAATTCGCCCCCGGCTGACATCATTGAGCTGCGGTCCGAGTACTTAAAATTTAAAGGTTTTGTGCTGGAAGTACTGAGCAGCTTTAGTACTCAAATTGAATTGCTGTCACAGGGCCATGACAGGCACGAAACGGCCATGCGAAAGAAAGTGCTGCTTGTCCATGGTGTCCCGGAGGTGAAGCAAGAGAGATTGCATGATGTCGTCACTGCAGTGCTGACCAGTCAGATGAAGTTGTCCGAGGTGGGTGGATCCGACATCCATGTGTGTCATCGACTGGGATACTCGAACCGCAGCCCTAGGCCGATACTCGTGCGTTTTTTCAAGACGGAACACCGGCACCTTGTATGGGACAATAAGAAATCACTTAAAGGCTCCGGGATCACTATTTCTGAATTCCTAACACAAATGCGTCACCGTGCCTTCACTGCCGCACGAAAATATTTCGGTATAACCAATTGCTGGTCAGTTGAGGGCAAGATAGTGATCATTGCCCCCGATAAATCGCGTCACAAGATCGAGTACATGTCTCAACTCGAGGAACTTATTGCCAAATTCCCACGATGCCCATCTGATGGTGATGATCCAGTGAGTGTCGCTGGCCCGGGCTTGGCAACAGGTGCTTGTAATGACTCGTTACCCAAGACCCTACGGAGAACACGTAACACCCGCCGAAACTGAATGTTAGTATCTTGTGTTTATTTTACTGTGTCATATCATGATGTGGTGGTTAAATGTATTAGTTTTCATCGCTGACCGTACTAATTTATCTCATCACACATTAATATAACTGCATTTTTGTTTTCGTTTGCCGGTACATCGATAATTTGTTTTGTTGTTTTGCTTATTTGCTTTTATCTTGTTGTCACTAATGTCACTAATCATAATTGTCATCTGTCATTAATGTCATTTTATCTGTCAAACGTCATGCTCCATTCCATTTCATTTCATGCTTTATGGTGGGTTTATGGATCATTGATGCGTTTTATTATAGCAAATATCAATTTTTCTGTGGTACACTTTTTATCATTCTTTTTCAATTTATTTTGCATTTTTTTTTTTTTATTTACATACACTTTTGGTACTCTAGCAAGTGGGGGAGGTTGCTTTTATTGTATTTGCAAGCAGCCACCGCTTTTTATTTTATTTTTTATTTTTTTGTAATATATCTATTGATTTTAGTATTTATAGTTATCCGTTTCATTATCATTGTTATTTTTCTTTTTTTATGGATGATTTTATCGGTTTTGCTGATAGTTTTCTCACTTGCTCTCCGGCGTCCAGTCTTGCTAGTGCGGACAGTGATGCTTCCCAGTCACTTACCTTGCATGACAATTTATCCAATCGCTTTTCACTCTTCCCGAAAAACCTCAATATCGCTCATATTAATGCTCAGAGTGTTCCTGGACACTACTCCGACCTTCTGGCTACCTTTAGCAATGTGCATCTCGACGTCCTATTGATTTCCGAGTCATTTCTTAAACCTTCCCTTTTATCCACGCACTATGCCCTCCCTGGTTTTGTTTTGGTCCGCAATGACAGGACGGGTCGGGGTGGGGGCGGGGTTGCCATGTACATACGGTCTGATTTATCACACCGTGTAGTCAGCTCGTCCCCTTCTCTTTATTCTGAGTCAGCAGAGTTTATGTTCGTCGAGATATCCATGAATCTTAACAAGATCTTAATAGCCGTCTTATATAGTCCCAACTTACACATTAACTATTTTGATACTCTCGACCAACAACTCAATAACCTATGCCTTAATTATCAGCATGTTATCATCATGGGCGATTTTAATACTTGCCTCCTCAAACAAGATTCACGTGCACATAAACTCGAATCACTATTGTCATCTTTTAACCTGCATCTACTTCCCCTTTCAGCTACTCACTATCCCCCCAACTCGTCTCCTTCCTTGCTCGATCTTATGATTGTGTCGTCCCCTGGACATGTAGATGACCACGGTCAACTGACTGCTCCTTTCTCCTACCATGACCTTATTTATGTATCTTATCGCATTCGTACTCCTAAACCTAAACCTCGTTACTTGAATCTACGTAGTTACGGACGGCTGGATCTGGGGGCGTTACGGCACGATGTCAACCTGACTGACTGGAGTTCTGTGGTTGATGCTGATGATGTCGATGTGAAAGTTAACCTGTTTAACGCGTTAATTGTCGACTTGTTTGATAGACATGCACCTTTGCGACGCATGAGGGTTAGGCACGATCCGGCACCTTGGATCACTTCTGACATTACAGAGGCTATGGCTCGTAGAGACAGGGCCAAGCGGAGGTGGAAACGTAGGTCTTCAGATGAAAATCTTTCCTCTTATAAAAATCTTCGTAATCGCTGCAGTCGTCTGTGTAGGGATGCTAGGAGGCGTTACTTCGATGACAACCTGGCTAACCACAACGCTGCTGATGCCTGGAAGTTCTTGCGATCTGTGGGCATCGGCAAATCTCCTGTCAATGTCAGTAAGGATGTTGATCTTATTTCCTTGAATCATCATTTCTCCCACTCCCCTATTTCACTTGACAACCTTACAAAAACTAAAACTCTTCTCAACCTTTCCTCTCTACCGCTTCCCTCTTGTTCTCCTTTTGTGCTCTGTAGTGTGTCCGAGGGCGAAGTAAAAAAATCCATGCTTGCCATTAACTCCTCTGCAGTGGGTAGTGACGATTTATGCTCCCGTATGTTTATCCCCATCCTTGACCTCCTTCTCCCTATTCTCACTCACATTTTCAACTTTTCTTTATTCTCTTGCTCTTTTCCTTCTGCTTGGAAAACTGCCCACGTTATTCCGTTACCAAAAACAAATAACCCTTCTACCCTTTCACATTACAGACCTATTTCCATACTGCCTTTTCTCTCCAAGGTCATGGAACATATTGTTCATAAGCAGTTGACTTCCTTCCTGACGTCAAACTGCCTCATTTCTCCCTTTCAATCGGGATTTCGCCCTGGTCACAGCACGGTCACAGCTTTACTCAAAGTGACCGATGACATTCGCTGGGCTATGGACAACCAATCTCTCACTGTTCTTGTGTTGTTGGACTTCAGTTCTGCCTTTAACTCCGTGGACTTTGACATCCTGCTAGGGGTCCTGAAGGCCAACAATTTCTCTTCTTCCTCTCTGGCCTGGTTTGAGTCTTATCTTCGGGGTCGCCGTCAGAGGGTCCGCCTTGAAGAAACTTTTTCTGATTGGTGTGACCTTGCTGCTGGGGTACCCCAGGGTGGCGTCCTTTCTCCTGTTCTTTTCTCCATCTTTATTAATACCGTTGCCAAGGTCATTTCATCCAATTTCCATTTATATGCGGACGATTTGCAGCTATATCGCCACTTTGGCTTGTCCGAGGCCCATTCTGCTATCGATGCCATGAATCGTGACTTGGATGGCGTTGCCGAGTGGGCTAGGTCTTTTGGCCTGCAAATCAACCCTCTCAAGTCTCAGGCCATGATCATCGGTAGCAGATATTATCGAAACGCTCTCGACGTGTCTGGCCTTGGTCCGTTACGTTTGAATGGCACACACATTCCATTCACTGATACTGCAAAAAACTTGGGGGTGCATATCGACTCGAACCTGTCGTGGGCCTTTCAGGTGAACGAGGTTAGTCGGAAAGTTCATTTCTCCATCCACTCGCTGAGGCGCCTCCAGACCCTGCTTCCGATGACGACTAAGATTCACCTCGTCCAGGCGCTGATCTTGCCTCTCATTGACTATGCAGATGCTTGCTATTTGGATGCCACAGAGGAGCTATTAAATAAACTTGAGCGTTTACAAAATGTATGTATCCGTTTCGTCTTTGGTCTTAGGAAGTTCGATCATATCTCTGAATTTCGTAACAGGCTCAAGTGGCTCCCAATCCGTCTTCGCAGGAACACTCGCATATTATGTCTCCTCTATAACATCCTGTTCAACCCAGCCTATCCTACTTATCTCCGAGACCGTTTCTCCTTGGTGCGTCCTCCTGAAGTCCTTACTCGTTCTCATCTTAAATCCTATCTTAAAATTGTGCCCCATAATACCAACTTCTACTCCTACTCCTTCTCCGTTCATGCAGTGAGACTATGGAACTCACTCCCGCCGAACATTCGGGATGCCAAGTCAATCTCTATCTTTAAGAGACAAGTGAGAGAACATTATCTTTCCTCCTGAAATATAGATCTTTTTGTTTATATTTGTTTATATATATATATATGTAGGTATATTTATATAAGTAATAGCATTGTATTAGTTTGTTTTGTTGTTTATTATTGTTATTTCTATCGGTTTTTTCGTTATTATTATTATTTTTTTTTTTTTATTGTTTGTGTAACACACTATGTGTCTCAGTGTTATTATATCTTTTCCTGCCACAGGCCCACAGGAAGAGATTCCAGTTGGAATATGTGGGGCCTATGTACTCTGTTTTTATATATGTGTTGTCCTCTGTGTTGAATGTGTGTACATAAATAAATAAATAAATAAATAAAATAAATACAATTTATTAGTCTAAGTAACACTGCTTAGAGCTTCCTGGCAACAATATTTCCTGCAAACACTATAACGGGACACAAAACCACAACATATAAATCACAACAAGGCTACATTACGTTCCCACATAAATAATTACGCAAAATTAGACAATAATTACGTAACGACCAACCATACAGACATACGAACAAATTGCGTATATTTTTCAACGATAGTACTCGACTCCATGACACATGTACGTCACTGTGTGGCCCAAACAATAGGGTTGCGTGAAAACGTAATAAATGAAGAGTGAATGAAAAGAATGGAAAGAGTGAGTGAATGGTTTCTTGTTGGCTGTCAAAGGGACTGTCTCCTTGAAGCAGTGATGCAATGTCCTGTTGAGGATTATGTTTGTTGTCGTGGAGATGTAAATATGGGATGGTTTCGGTTGTCGTACTTATGTTGATCCGTCCGTATGGGTGGTCGCTTGAGGGTCTGTCGATTAAGTAATAAGAATATAACTTTTTTTCTCTAAAAAAAATAATAATAATAAATAACTAATTAACTACTACATGTATGTCGTGATAAGGGGGGAAAATCATCGAATGACTGCTCCCGCCTGGGTGAGGCGGAAGGGAGTGTCAGACTCTTACTGAGTAAAAACCACCCCTTTCCTACTCCTGCACTTCGAGCCGGAGCCCCGGCAACCCGTTAAGTTCTCCGCGGCTTCATATATGAGCCCTGTTGGACCCCATCTGTGGTGGCCTGATGGCTCCTTGGGGCGTGCGGAACGCGACGCGCCGTATATACGCTCGGGTACAAAATAAGAGCCTAACTTAGCATAACTTTTACAAACCTTTGTATTTAAACAACCAACTAAGACATTGATACTCTTCACAAAGTTACATTACGCATGTCACGGCTCAATACAAAAGGCATTGCGTTACGGTGCAGACGCCATGCGCCGTCGCAGGTAACTACTCCATTACAACCAGTTCATTACGTCATTACAACTGACTGTGGTGTAGAGCTTCGTCATTTACATAAGAAAAACTAGAGAGAGTTTACAAGGATTCCTAAGTCTTCCTTTTGACAATTACATATAACTAATTGTATTATGTGATCTAGCGAGGTAAGATGTACTGTCAATGTAAATCGATAAAAAGTAAAATAATTTAAGTAAGGAACCCCCAACACATGGCAACATCATGTCAAACATACGCTTACTATTTCATTTTTAATTTCAATATTTAACAGTTATGACATTGGACTTTTTTATTTTCAACACCCAAAGACAAAACTCATACAGCCAAGTTTCCAGCCATAAACAACTGTCAAAATACAGTATAAAAACCTCTTTACTCTATTAAAACAGACTAACAAGATTCTCACGCATGCGCACGCAAATAATTTATTTACAGAATTAAATTCTAACGGTCATGTATCTGGGTGGAATTATTATTAATGTGCAACAGACGGACAAACGGACAACGTCAGTTGCGAGTTAGTAGAGGCGAAATGTTATTTGTATTAAAACTAGAAACTCCTTAGATTATAGCAAGAAATGATTAAAATTATGACATGTTGCATAAATAAGAGGTATAGTGTTGTGTCAGTTGGGTTCTGTTAGATCATAGGAAGTGGTGTTTGTTTTGAAATAATTTATTGCT